CCTCGTGCTCGTTGCGAACGATGCTTCACGAACTCGTACTACTTATTTGCTACCGAATAAGCATTAAAGCATAAGTTCTCAAATCGGCATATGTCAAGAAGCAAATAAATTTACCAGAAAAAGGGCTTCACGGCTAACTGTATCGCTCCCTCGCTGTTACTCGCCCGTGCTTACTTAAATGATCATTCACTGTAGGCAAGAGGAGCAACGAGGTCACCCCTTTCAACGCCATCTTCTTGGAACCGCGGAGAAAAGACGAATCTTAAGCGTTCTACAATTTTGTGAAGATACTAAAAATGATGATGACAGAACGAACAAGAAAAAAACTTCTAATGAATCTGATGACTCATAGTTGAGAGTACCAAACTAAATAGATATAGACGGAATGGCTTTTCTGGTGAGGCGTTTCGCCACCTCTCTGAAAGCATCTTCAGGGCGCAACAAGCCATGCCTGCACCATAGCTACTTCGATGCGTTGTGCTTTCATTAACGTACAAATAGCTCCTAAGAGCTGGAAAACGCTGAACGTTCGTTTTCTTTATAGTGATCTAGAAGCATGCTCTATTTCGACACGAAAGGCTGATAAACAACAGTGAAATCAAGTTCCGATCGTGTATCATTCAGGAACGTGGCCTGTGGTGAGGGTGAGGAAACTCAACACTACTTCGAATATAATTCTTTTTCTTTCTGACAAATGTGCAGCCAGCATCACGCCGCAAAACAAAGCTGGACCACCGACGAACGACATCTCATGTTCCTATCAACGGACATGAGCCGACCTTAAATCCAGGTCCGCGGGGGAGGGGCCAATTTTTCTGCTTTACTCTTGATTCCTCTTAGTCTAGACCTTCTCGGTGCGCTTCGATCGAAACAGCCAGTGGAACACGGCAACATGTGGCTGGCAGGCGAAGGATTGACACATCATGGCTTCCTGTTGTCAGCCATGCTGCCGCCAACGTAGCTCATGCAACTTGCAAAGTGCACTGCTTCATGACTCAAAAAATATATTAATATTCTATCGCCGACTGTCAGCGAAAGTAATATTCATTAAAATATTGTGAATGTAAGTAATATTAAAACAAAATATTGCGACCTGAACCGCTTCTGCGAGTAAGGTAACGGGCAAAGACGCTCAGAGTCAACAGCCGAAGCAGTCGTATGCGAAGAACCGCAGGTCGCCGACAGTGCTGCCTGCTTGGCCATCTGCATGTGTTTCTAGGGCCGGCGAAAGAAAGCCAGCAGATTCCGCAAGTGAGGTACACGGAGAGGACTAATTCTTCGACATAGGTATTGGCTTATGCTGCAGATCTGCAGAAACGCACGTTTCGTAGCGGATTTCTTTGAAAATTTCCCTCATCAGATGTCGTAACGTTTTCGCGCTTCTTGTCAGCATTTGCAACGGCTTCTTGTCCTGCGATGTAACGCCTGACATGCCATCAGGCCAACCTGTGTGTCGCGATTCATTTGCAGTTTGACGACGATAAAGCTTGCTTCTTCGTCGCCGGTACTTTCCAACCATGGGTTTTCCGACCCGTCTATCGACCCTTTATCAACATGAGCTCGGCACTTAGCAAGTTATAATAATGACTAACGTGAGTGAAGAGTGAAAGTATAAGTAACTTTGTTTTGTCAAAGGGATAGTTGAGCTTGATCCCTATTTCACATATTCCGTGCACGCCTCTTCTGGCATCCTGAAGTAATCTGACACTCTTGACTTGTCACTTAACATGCAGCTGAGGATTCTGTGCCTCTCAAACTCACCTAGCGCGTTAGTTTCCCACTCGATAAAGGTTGAGTCTATGTTACCGTAGCGTCCATCAGTACATGTACAGAACTGAGAACCGCTGATATATATCACAAGCTGTCCGACTGGTGTCGCATGTACGGCTTTGCGACACAGAACGACACTATGCTTGAAGATTAAATTCGACGAGAACATCGACGTTAAAATAAATAAATGTACCACATGTTTCGGTTCAGCCTTTCGCGTGGAAGCCCGATATCGTTTCCGGTCTCGTAGCAGCTATCGAAATGCTCTGAAAACTCGAACGACTTTATGATGAGGTTGTAAACAAGTTTTCTTCGGTCTGGGTGACGGAAAACAAGTTCATCCGATCAGCACTCAGAATGTTTTCTTTCATACAAAAACTTTAAAGCGATTTAGCCGATTGCGCGTGGACCGAGTCAAAAGAAAAACACCACCTTGGCTTGGTTTGTTTACAAGTCCACCTCAGCTTCTAGTCAGAATGTTAATTTCGGCAACTTATTCATCAACAGCGGAAATAGGCTACGAATGATTTAGTTCGATGAGAGGCAACAAACGGTTTAGCTTAGATAATAAGTTTTAATTATACATTCTAGTGCTTATTCCATTTTAACGAAGGAGACACCGTGTGATGCTCAATTATTCCTCCTGAATCAAACAAATGCATGCTCATTCTTCAACCTTTTCGATACCGTTTCATTTCTCATGAGATTTCACAATCATGTTTGAGATCTTCATCTTCACTTAGGTCACGTGCTGTCAAGTTCAGCGTTCGCGGTTCGCTACGTAAGGCGTCGAATCGCTGGCAAAGATCCGATTATCTTAAACGTCTTGTTTGAAGCCAATTGGTCACTTCGGTTGGATATATTGGCCTCTCTCTCCCGACAGCATTTGACACCGAATCGGATTGCTTCATTCTTAATATTGATCGCAAAATCTTTATTTCCGTCGTTTCTAGTTTTTGCTTGTAAGCGTTTCGTAAATACTGCCATCGCAGACTATAGGGCACGATTCGGAATGTAGGCCTTCATATCCGTAGCTTTGTGTGATAGCCAATGTCGTTGTCTCTCCATCGTTAGCTGAACTTCCAACTCGCTACCAGTACCAATGCACATCGCCTCTTAACTTTGTTTGTCACTCCTTTGTCTGCAACCAATGCACTCGCATCACGTTCTGGTACCGTTTCCACAATAGCGGCGTCAAGAGTCAGAGTGATACTGGTCCTGGCTGAAACCAATTTCCATTCCCTTTGTCTGATTTAAGTTAATCGAGAGGCCGAGATCAAAACAACTCTGTTTCACAGTTACTCTCTTGGTATTTGAGTTCTGAAGTCATCTGCTAGCAATACGATATCAGCCGCAAACACTAGAGGGGTTACGCGGGTGTATAATCTCGTCGCAGTGGTCCCGTCACTCATACGGATGTTTGCCTCACCCAAGCAAGAAACGCTGAAAACAGCAGTAGAGGTTTTACTCCTTTACCTTACTGCGAGCTTTCAACTAAACTACTTGTTCGACATCAGTTTATACTGCTCACAGTTGAGAACAGTTGCAAGTAGCCGGAGATGACCGTTTACAATGAAATACAACATGATCACGTGTCACACAGTCACCAGAAGAATATAGCTTTCGGATTGAACCAACCGATGCGAGGTCTTTCAATTTCTTTAAGCAACGCTTACATACTGCTCAATAAAGTTGCTCAAAGTTGTTGCAAGACGTATCGTTGGTCGATCTGATCCGAAAGCTGTATTGTTCAGTAGATGCACGACGCCTCATCACTCATTACTGCATTGTAAGCGTAGAGGGCTCAACGTATCACGTTTCATCCGTAGTCAGATTGGCATACAAGAGGTGGCAAGATTTTTCAATGTAGGTTAATGTTTTGTCACCGACCTGTAGTTTGGATAGATGACGAGCTATAACAGCAACGAGTTCTATCGTCAGTGCACTCAACCGCATTTTACCTTTCCCTCTGTCACAAGATGCCTTACTTTGGTCATTGTCTGCTGTTTGCGACGTGGGGGTGACCAGGTACTTTGGGCGGGGTGACCAGCACAACTGGCTAGAAGTTTATTTTGCACTTTAGAGGCACAGGGTTTAAACTCCAACGAAGGTGTTAAAAGTTCCCTCACTGACTGGTAATAACCTTAAGCAAGGGATTCACATCACTGTGCTTCGGCCAACCAACCGAGAGACGAAAATCAGGTCGTTGACCTGGAAAAAGGAGGGACAACACGCTGACCTGGTAAGGTCTTGTCAACCAGTGCCAGACATACTGTAACGCTTGCTGATGCATGCGACTAACGGTGGCGGCTCTCGATGCTCGCCCGAAGCTGATAAACAGTCACCACCAGGTGAAACGGAAACAAATTCAATAAATAAGTGATATGACGAGCTGAGGTGCGAGTGAACGCGCATTAATGCAAACAAAGCAACGAAACAACAGCGTAATTAAACAAGACCAAGGACAGGCAGACGACTTTTCCCACCGGCACTCTTACCTCAGCGGGGAGAAGCCGGACGTGCGACACGTTTGTCCTAAAAATGCTTTTTGCCACCAACGCCTACACGTCGTCAGAAAATTTTCGCATGCAAACTCGGTGAACGCAAAGCGGATATTTCGAATCTGTTGCGTTGCTGACTTAGCTGAAAGATACCAAACCAGCCAGCTCGGACTGAATGGCTGAAACTGCATTTGCGGCTTGTCGTAGGCCGCTACTTTAATTGATCGCCTATGTGTGAACAGCGGCGCACATCAGCGACTTTGCTTCTTGCGGGCATCGACGAGTTCGCGCATTTGCGAATCGCAGCGATGGAAGCCGTCTGCGATCGTTCCTCGATGGAGTGATAAATCGCTGACAGAACTCGAGGTGGACGGCCCTCGGCGAAAACTCAAACCGTTGACAGGACTCGAGGTGGACGACCCTCGGCGGAAACTGAAACCGCTTCATGATCCGATCAAAGTCGGTCGTACAATTTCGATGCAGAAATGCCGTGGCGACGAACGGTGGCATACGTCTCGGAACTTTTTAGTACCCGCGGAGCACAGACGTGTCGGCCAGCCGGCGAATGAGCGGTCGCAAGCAAGCGTTTTCCGAAGAGGTTGAAATAAATAACACGAATACGAGGCAATGCATTGATTTTGCCCAATGCGCAACCCCCAGCCGTATGGACACAGGCGAACGCTTAAGGAACGGTCCTAGCGGGTGTCGTATTGATTGACACCCGGCATAGCATCTTGAACAAGGACTTAGACGAGGAAAGTCATAAACGGCAATCAGCTTTTATAAAGTCGTTAAAAGACCGAAAACAAATCACACTCATGCTAATGCCAACAAGTATCAACAGCCAGCAGCAGCAGCTGTCAAGCATAACAAACGATGCCACGATTCGTGTAGCAAAACGTAATGGCAGTAAAGTGTTAATTAAATTAATCTGTGCTGAGGAACGAATGTCACTGTGGATTCCGAAAGTTGACCGTTTCTTTGACTCATCAGCAATATTTCGACTTTGTTCGGTCCCTCAACAACGCATCGACAAATTGGCTACAGTACATTTTTCTTTGCTGCTACATTAAAGTAAATCGTAGCTGCTGCACTGGTT